AATCTAGCTTCATTTGAGCATAATCTAGATCCAGTCCCAATCTAGCTTCAGTTGAGCATAATCTAGATCCAATCATAATCTAGCTTCAGTTGAGCATAATCTAGCTCCATTCCTAATCTAGCTTCATTTGAGCATAATCTAGATCCAGTCCCAATCTAGCTTCAGTTGAGTATAATCTAGATCCAATCATAATCTAGTTTTAGTTGAGCATAATCTAGATCCAGTCCTAATCTAGCTTCAGTTGAGTATAATCTAGATCCAATCATAATCTAGCTTCAGTTGAGCATAATCTAGATCCAGTTCTAATCTAGCTTCAGTTGAGTATAATCTAGACCCAATTATAATCTAGCTTCAGTTGAGCATAATCTAGATCCAGTCCTAATCTAGCTTCAGTTGAGCATAATCTAGCTCCAGTCCTAATCCAGCTTCAGTTGAGTATAATCTAGATCCAATCATAATCTAATTAAGTATAATATAGCGTCAGCCATAATCTAATTGAGTATAATCTAGATCCAGTCATAATCTAGTTGAGTATAATCTAGATCCATTCATAATCTAATTGAGTATAATCTAAATACAGTCATAATCTAGTTGGGTATAATTTAGATACAGTCATAAGTGTAAACTAACTGAGTAGTGTTTAATTCCAGTCGTAAAAATTTTAATAGTCTAAACCCAGTCGCAAACATAATGAATGGTATACAAATCCAGTCACAAACTGAGTAGTGTCTAAATCCAGTCGTAAGATAACTGAGTAGTGTCTAAATCCAGTCACCGTCGTAATCTAATTGAGCAGATTAACTCAAGATGTGATGGATTTTGAATTGTTGAACAAATGTAAGAAGTTCATTCTCTGTAGAAACGACAAATTTCACGATCACAAGGAACATCCGACACCTAGTGGAGACCGTATCATTTTTCCCGGCTCAGTTTATTCTGTTTTAATTATTACTTTTTGATTCCTTCAATTTTGATTAGACAGTTTTACACATTCTTGAATTTAATTAATTCAGGAAACTAATTAGTGTATAAGTAATAAAGTATAAATGAAGAGTTCCCGTTATCCTTTTGGTGTTTGGGTGCGCGTGCTTCTTAATATCAAAGGAACCGCTCAACGAGGCAGAAAACAGCTAACTATTCTTATCTTTATTTAATTAAATGTAGGATTTCATTTCATAACTGGCTAAAAATTCAAATATATTTATTTCAGGAGTGGCACGATATACAAAGGTTGTGGAAAACACGGATGATATCGCAATATTTGACGAGGTAGGATATATATTTTTTTCTATTTCTAATGGCCGTCGTATCCAAAAATATGAGATGTTTTATATTATATCTTAAGGCGCCCTCTATAGTGGATATTGTGAAGCTAAGTATTCTTGCAAAGTTTATTAATAAAATTTTCAGCATATACATTACTCTCAATATTTTGAACTGCACAGAATGTATTCTGTTTAAGGATTATAATCACAAATATATATAAACTGGCTGTTTAATTAATCATATATATATATACTTTCAATTCCTAAAAGATTAAAATACTTTGGTTAATTTTCCCTTCATAGTAAATTATTTCATGACTGCAAATATGGTAACACTAAATATAATAAAGAAGTTATTATGTATTTACTGCTTTATCTTTGTGCTGCAGAGAAACCTGATACCGGCAACATAATAAGTTAGTCTGGTACGAGTAAGACAAAAACTTTAAAATGTCCACATAGTAAAATATTTAGCCATCGTAGGCTAGAGTAAGACTAAAGCCCAAAATGCCCACATGGGAATATTGAGACTGGCCTCATTGTTAAGATTCCTTACACAAAAACTAGACTAAAACGTAAAAAAAAATCATTTTATAAATGTTTAGATGTAGCTAAAGATCGTTAGAAATGTATACATATGTAAATTTTTATGTCGTTATCAATATAGGTATTTGAATGGCCTGTAGCAAGACCAGTAGAAAGCCATGAGGCTTTGGAAATTCAACTTCTTAATTACAACAAATATTTCACCAACAAGTAAGTAGCTCACGAGTTTTATGAGAATTTAAATGAATTTCACCTGAAATTATATGTAGTGAGGTATTCACAAAGGTACCAATTTCCAATAAGTATCAAAAATAATATTCTACAATTACGGCAGAATTCACTCGGGCAATATACGAGGATTGCGTGATAAAGATAATACGATTGAGTTTTCTTTTTACTGTATAAATAACTAAGCAAGACGTGTTTTGAAAAACACAGATAATTTTTTGTTTAAACAATTATAGGAAGACAAGTACGCATACCCACGATGGGTGAGTCGAGTTAGCTTCCTCCCTTTAGTTAGTGTTTAGTCTTACAGTTTTGTTTCTCTTGATATCCAACATTAAACAAGCAATATTCTGGAATCTAGAATGTCAACTCGCTTTATTTGTTCCAGTGGACGGCGTCACCTCGTGACCTACGTTCCCTGACAGTATTGGTCTGCAATAATATTCAGTCAACGTCATAACTGGTCATTCAAGGACATTTCGGTGCTAACGTGTTCCACCCAGGTTCTCTATACAATACTGAATCATCCTTGTGTGCAGAGAAGACATTACCTACTAGAAAACAAAGGGCGAAGCATCTAGAATAATATCTGTGGGTAAAGGAGACATCACCTACTATAAAACAAAGAGCAAAGCATCTAGAGTAATCCATGTGGGTAGAGAATACATCATCCACTAGAGAACAAAGGGCGAAGCATCTAGAATAAGTCCTGTGGGTAGAGAAGACATCAACCACTAGAGAACAAAGGGCGAAGCATCTAGAATAATCCATGTGGGTAGAGAAGACATCAACCACAAGAGAACAAAGGGCGAAGCATCTAGAATAATCCCTGCGGGTAGAGAAGACATCAACCACAAGAGAACAAAGGGCGAAGCATCTAGAATAATCCATGCGGGTAGAGAAGACATCAACCACTAGAGAACAAAGGGCGAAGCATCTAGAATAATCCCTGTGGGTAGAGAAGACATCAACCACAAGAGAACAAAGGGCGAAGCATCTAGAATAATCCCTGTGGGTAGAGAAGACATCAACCACTAGAGAACAAAGGGCGAAGCATCTAGAATAAGGCAACGTTAGAAACTCTTTGAACCATGTGTTTCTGCCATGGCAGTGTGGAAACTAGATAATCAAAAATGCTGAATATTTTATGTATTACTATAGAAGATAGAAAGCCCACGATATACCACAGTAACTCAAAGTGTTGTGTGTATATCGAACAGAAAAGACAGGTTTCTAGCATAAGTGGTTAAGTTTTTACAACAAATAATCAGGCTTATACCATTTTTAACTGAACCGAGCGTGGCTTAATGAATACGGACTTGAATCCAAGGGTCCATGTTTCGCTGTCAGTTACCGAAAAAATTCTCTCTTCACATTGTAGCCATAGCTGGCTATAAAAGTGACGGTCAAACTTCAGTATTCGATCAGACAAGAGTAGATCAGGAGTTTGCGAAGGGTGCTGTTGAGTAGCTGCCTTCTGTAAGTGAAGAATTAAGTACGTTTATGTGTACCTAATTCTTCACATACATAAACGTACTTAATTCTTCACTTACATAAACGTACTTAATTCTTCACTTACATTAGCTAACTTAATTCTTCACTTACATAAACGTACTTAGTTCTTCACTTACATAAATGTACTTAATTCTTCACTTACATAAACGTACTTAATTCTTCACTTACAGAAGCTAACTTAATTCTTCACTTGTTTATGTAAGTGAAGAATTAAGTTAGCTTATGTAAGTGTTTGTTTGTAATTAAGCACAAAGCTACACAACTGGCTATCTGTGCTCTGCCCACCACGGGTATCGAAACCCGGATTCTAGCATTGTAAGTCCGCAGACATACCGCTGTGCCACTGGGGGGGGGGGTTTATGTAAGTAAAGAATTAAGTACGTTTATGTAAGTGAAGAATTAAGTACTTTTATGTAAGTGAAGAATTAAGTACGTTTATGTAAGTGAAGAATTAAGTACTTTTATGTAAGTGAAGAATTAAGTACGTTTACGTAAGTGAAGAATTAAGTACGTTTATATGAAGCTTTGAGTGAATATTCTGAAAGAAAGATACTTTGTTTGTTGTTAAGCACAGAACTACGCAGCGGACTAACTGTGCCCTACCCACCGCGGGTATCGAAACCCGATTTTTAGTGTTATAAGTCCTAAGACTTACTGCTGAGTAGCCGGAAAGTACAAACAAACTTACTAATTTTACTAGCATTAATAAATCCGTTGGGTGGCTCGACGGTTTCCCATTGTATAGCTTTGTGTTCAACAAGAAACAAGCAATGATGAAATTACGTTTCAACAGTATAGCTTTGAAAAATGTGTTGATTTTTTCCTGAATCAATTTCGAAGTGTTATATTTTTGTTGCCTGGATATTCAATTACACACATTAAAAATAGAGTAATTTAGAAAGAGTTAGCTCGTCAATAGAAGTTAAAATGGATTAATTTAGGAAGAGTTAGCTCGTCAATATATGTTAAAATAGAGTAATTTAGGAAGAGTTAGCTCGTCAATAGAAGTTAAAATAGAGTAATTTAGGAAGAGTTAGCTCGTCAATAGAAGTTAAAATAGAGTAATTTAGGAAGAGTTAGCTCGTCAATACAAGTTAAAATGGAGTAATTTAGGAAAAGTTAGCTCGTCAATAGAAGTTAAAATGGAGTAATTTAGGAACAGTTAGCTAGTCAATAGAAGTTAAAATGGAGTAATTTAGGAAGAGTTAACTCGTCAATAGAAATTAAAATAGAGTAATTTAGGAAGAGTTAGCTCGTCAATAGAAGTTAAAATAGAGTAATTTAGGAAGAGTTAGCTCGTCAATAGAAGTTAAAATAGAGTAATTTAGGAAGAGTTAGCTCGTCAATAGAAGTTAAAATGGAGTAATTTAGGAAGAGTTAGCTCGTCAATAGAAGTTAAAATGGAGTAATTTAGGAAGAGTTAGCTCGTCAATAGAAGTTAAAATAGAATAATTTAGGAAGAGTTAGCTTGTCAATACAAGTTAAAATAGAGTAATTTAGGAAGAGTTAGCTCGTCAATAGAAGTTAAAATAGAGCAATTTAGGAAGAGTTAGCTCGTCAATACAAGTTAAAATAGAATAATTTAGGAAGAGTTTGCTCGTCAATACAAGTTAAAAATAAAGCGATGCAGGAAGAGTTAGCTCGTCAACATTAGTTAAACATGGCACGATTCGGGAAGAACTTTCTTATAAAATCCTTCGTGCACGAAAAGAAATCATGGGTTAATGTTGACGGTATATTATTTTAAAATAATTAAAACAGGTGCAAGAAAAAGTCTATTTTACAGAGTTACTGGATGTTACGGACTGGTTCTGCAACAATTGGTAGAAGATGGACATCTAATCATCTCAGACACGCTATTGGACGTTAATAATATGCCGGTTGGGGTAAGTAGGTGGCGCCCTCTTGTGATTTTTTTCCTTTTGAAAGCTACTTAGTGTTTGAGAAACATGTTAAGTTTAATTGCTATGTTGTCTGTTACAGCAACAGATGTTAATCGCTTAGAAATGAAGTGTAAATGTCCATTTTTTGTTACTTGTAAAAGTTTAAGCTTACATAGAGCTAATATATTTTAAAAAACAAATTCACCTGAAGGGACATCTTTTATACGATTCAGCCGACTTTTGAAGATTACATTTACTATGCTATTTTATTTGAATCTATGACATTCGATTGTTGATCTGTATAATATGAAGAACCCATTTAGAAAACTTTGATGCACTTCATGGTCATGAAGACATCACACTCAGAAAATGGAATATCTGATTAGGCGAACATGACTTTTATTAATGATTCAGTGATCATTATATCACTATTTATTAATACTAAATTGATTTTAATATTTTTTTTCGCTCAGATTTATTTTGTAGAAAATCTGGTTCAAACCTTAATTCAGCAGAAACGTAACGTGTGATTCATTTACAGTATGTAGGGCATGATTTACAAACAGATACAAAATTTAAGTGTTCATTTTGTATTTTTTAAGACTAACGTTACACTTGAAGTTAGTTATACGGCACCAGATGGCTCTGTAGGCAACTGGCAAAGCAGTGGTCTCCAGTATGGAAGTTTTGACGACGACAGACAAGCCTTAATTGACATTGAAGAGAACATCGCTAATCTCGAAAGCAGTATAAGTCAACGAGCAGACTTTGAATCTGGTGCTCTTCTCAATTTGATTCCTCCAAAATCGCCTGACAGAAAACGGTTGGTAGCCATTTACAGAATTAAGCCTTTTCTCAACCTTCCTTAAATAAATATAAGCCCCCCCCCCCCACAAAGAAAAATATATCAGAACGACTGTGCAATA